TCTCTCTCTCCCCCCTCTCTCTCTCTCTCTCTCTCTCTCGCTGTCTCTCTCTCTCTGTTTCTCTCTCAATCTCTTTTTCGTCCTTTGAGTGTCATCTCTGGCACTGTTTTGATCCTTATTTCCCAGTGTTGCTCAGAATAGAAACCTGAATACATACATACTTTGATATATTTCACTAGTTGCTTTTATAATCATACAGCCATTGTAAGACTAAATCTAATGATAAAAATCACGTAATCTTTTGACATTGTTTGCTAACCACAAACATGAAAATTCCAAGAGCCCTCTGAAGAAGTAGAAGTATAAATAATTCATGAAATGTATAAATAGTAATAACTCGTATTTTATAGACAGTATCTCATATTAAATTTTTTTTAAACGGTATGCGAATAGCGTGAAGATTGGCCTAGTAAGCATATTATAATAAACTTGCTGGGTTCCTTTTCTTTGAAAGGAATGATCGGTGCATTAACATCAACTGAAAGTCATTGGCCTACTATATCAAATTTACACTCTGCTGGAATGGAGCAATAAAACTTGAGAGAAAAGTGGCATACGTGTTTCTAAGTTGCCAAATATAATATAATGTATAGATTGATTCTCTATTCCGCTTTCGTGGTTGTACACTCCATAATTTCAAAGGTATGGAACAGTGCGCACAGTGCTAGTGAACGGAAACCTCACTTGTTTACAATGGCGTCTTAGAAGACGGACTTTCCCAAGATTAGTCTTGTGTGGACGAAACAAAGCATTTTGGAAAAATTGGGTAAGCATTTTGCGTGGATTTTTTAAAGTTAGGTCTTAGCAACATGGATGCTGTGGACGCCTGCAAAGTTTCAAAGATGTGGGTTTGGTAATAAGGGAGGAGTTTGAGCACAAAGCCTCCCAAGTCCACTTATTTATATTTATAATATAAATCTATATCTAGATATTATGATATACTAGAATATAGATATATCACAGAATGGTTCGGGATAACATCCGGAGTAAGACAAGGTTGTGTCCTATCAGCACTACTATTTATCATATATAAGGATAGAATTACAAAAGAGACCAACAGGGGGCTCTCGTGGCCTAGAGGTTAAGGTGTTGGCCTCTCATTCAAAGGTCCCGGGTTCGAATCCGGGTAGCGACTTCGTTCATCTTTGTGAGTAAGGCTTTGAACTTTGGTCATCTGCGAAGAGTAATTCATTTAGGGCGTCTGGTTCTGTGTTGGCCTCTTGTTTGTTTGTTTTTTGTTTTTGTTTTTGTAAAGTGTTTTACGGCGCACGCAACTGCATAGGTCATATGAGCGCGCGGGACACACCTAATATTTTCAGTTGGTAGGAAATTTTGAATTTTGCCCGGGTGGCGGCCGAAGTCTACTCTTATCGATTTTAGACCACCAAGGGATCTTTAACGTGCGCAACTTGCACACGGGCCCTCCGAGATTTTTCGCCCTTGTCCGAGAAGGCTAGGTGTAGATCTTTCCTACCAGAAGATCAGGGGTGTGGCAGAAAGACAGCAGTAAGGAGGAGCCAAGGAGTAGCAGTAGAAAGGCTGCAGAAAGAATCAGGAGCCCAGAGGAGGGGGCAAAGGGGGTGAGGGGGTGGGGGCAGAAAGTGGAAATAAAGCAGACAACAGAACATTGCTAGAGAGCAGGAAAGGAGGTGAAAGGAGACAATTTTAGAGAAGACAATTTTTTGGTCGCTACCCGGATTCGAACCCGGGACCTTTGAATGAGAGGCCAACACCTTAACCTCTAGGCCACGAGAGCCCCCACCTCGGAGTTTGTCATACATTTTTAATCCCCTCTTTCCAGCCCCTCTCTCCCTCTCTCCCTCCCCCCCCCTCTCTCTCTCTCTCTCTCTCTCTCTCTCTCTCTCTCTCTCTCTCTCTCTCTCTCTCTGTGTGTGTCTCTCTCTGTCTCTCTGTCCCCCTTTGTCTCTGTCTCTCTCTCGCGTTCTCTCTCTGTATTATGCATTTGATCTTGTTTGTACACATGTTGATACTCATAGGTAAGTGGACTTGCATAATTGTCTTTAAATTCAACTTTACTTACTCGCCAAACACATGCCTTTGAAGGTTTGAGATAAGACTGCACATTTAGAATACCAATAGGGTCAACTTTTTACATTTAGGTTCTGTCTCTCTAAAACTGTCCTTGTCCTGTCTAATGGTTCCTGAAAACTTACCAATGAATTGAAAATTTACTTGTAATTTACATAATTCAAACGCAAAAAAGTGTCATTTGAAGTTTGTTTTTACTTTTTTATCTGTTATGGTCATTATTTTTTTTCACACCAGTTTAGGAATACTGGTAACGTAATTATTAATTGATTGTAATAATATACTGTAAAATAAATAACCAGTTACATCGATGTGCTTTTATGTACTCAAAATTTAAAATGTAACTCAAACTCATCTATGATTCAGCTTTGAATTTATTTTTCTCATATTACTGTCAATCTTCAGACTTCTCTGCAAGAAGGCACTGGTGTTTTAAGAACGTCTACCACAGAAGGCAGAAGGTCAAATAAACAGCTGGTCGTGTTTGTTTGATCCATTTTTGAGTATACATTTTACTGCCTCATTGAAATAGTAAAGGCAGTGCAGAACCAACAAGCGGCAAAGAACAAACTAGTATGCAAAATTCTCTTCCAACACTCAAGCTTAAATCATTAGGCAGCTCTTCCCATCCAATTTTACTTCTGTCACCCCCTTCCCCCTTGAAAAGACCCCTACCTACACTGCTGTGACCCTGTAAGGATAGGTTGATAGGGTGCTAGGTGGATAGGCTAGGTTCAGAGTAGGATTTTGTAGATAGTATTGCCATGGCCATGGCGGGGCGGGAGGGAGTTGAGGGGGCAGTTTAGGGGGGGGGGGTTGGGGGGGTTAGTGGGGCGGCAGGGGTAGATTGAGTCTTTTCAGGGGGAAAGGGGTGGCAGGAGTAGAAAAGGCTGGGAAGAGCTGCTTGCTGATTTTCAATTTGAGTGTTGAAGTGACTTTTGTATACTGGA